CCCCCCCCCCCCCGATTAGGACGCCCAGGTACAGACACTCAGGGAGATTTTAGTGAGTGCAAGCCTCACACTTTTCTCATCCCCTTCTCTAGAGGCAAGGGGATTAGTGCGTAGGCATTTCTCCTCGTAAAAAAAGGGTGGGGTTAGATTATTACATACCCATAGTTAGGTTAGGATTAAGTTATTATATACTCATTTGCAACTCGTAGTCAATCGAAACTTGGCCATTTGCAACTCATAGTCAATTGCAACGTGGTCAATTGAAACATGATCATTTATGGTACAATTCGTGGACAACTGCAACGTGATCATTTGCACCGCATGGTCAAATGCAATGTGACTATTTGCAACGTGATTAATTGCAACGTGGCCAATTGCAACGTGCTCAATCGCAATGTGGTCAGTTTGGACGGTGGTCAAATGGACACCACTCGGCTCAATTCTCATCTCGTAGCCGTAACATGTTATGTAAATATTTGTAATATGAATATTCGTAATTTAAATATTTGTAATATAAAAAATAATTTTTCCTTTAAAATATGTAACTTTCCAATTTTATAATTTGATACTTATTTGACTCTTATTACCCTATCAATACAATAACTTCATTTTCATATTTATTATAGTATTTTTTTATTATATAAAGAATGATATTACGAATCCTCAAAGCAGCGGGAAAAGGTTTGAATTTATAGTAAAGTTACAGTCGATTAATTTGGAGAGATCAGAACTTATTTGTAGACTTGTATGAAATTGTATATGTACAATTGTATATACATTTAATGGAATCTGTAATGAGAGAAAGATAAATTACACTGTATATCAACAGCAATAAACTAGAAATTGTATATCTGTTACTTCATCATCATGGGCGAAAAATTGGCTATATTAAAAAAATTCAGTATTTAAATTGCTTCATGATATGCTGAATAGCAAAACATTGAAATACAAAATGCATTTTATTTGGGATAAACAATACATGCATTTATGACTTCTAATCAAAAATAATATTAATATTTTTTTACAAAAAAAATGTTAAATAATTCAAAAAATTATTTTTTACACTATAAATTATAAAATTCAATTATTTCGGAAATCTGACATGCTAGTGAAATTTAATTTGCGGTATCACATCGTTTAGGTATCCAAAAATCTATACTTAATAAGAATACAAAATTTATCACTTTTAAAATAATTAAAAAAACATTTTCTTTGTAACTAGTGTAATTAATGTTTAGATACAATATTAAATAGCATTTTCACATACCTGTTCAGTGAATTCATGTAATATTTTTAGAACCTTTGATTGCTCTCTGTCTTTTT